GGTAAGATTTTGCGGCCTATTGATTACGCTTACTCCAGCAGATGACAACAGTGCATTTTGGTTCGGATATTCCCGCTTGCGGCAACTTTAGAGGGAAGGGGACTTCTCAGTTCTATTTACTTGTGGCCGCTCCTCTGATTGTTGCTGAGTCGTTACTAGATTTGAAGTGAATGGCGGCTTGCAGTAGTTTATTGCTTCCCACAATTTTATTCCCTATTTAGGACACAAGACTCCCAGCTTATTGGTATGAGTGAATCAATGATCCTGCGGGGGCAGTTTCATCCAAGCAATGTAGTTCTTTTCGACGCGCCATTCAGGAAGGTAATGGGTCACATTCGCAAGCAAACGATCCGTAATTATGCAGTAGGTTTTAAACGTAAGGGCACAATGCTTGAGGAAAAACAAACATCGAGAAATACACTAACTTGCAAATTAATCTGGTTTTCACGAGAGGCTCAAGTGAATCTCTCGTTTATGATATTCTACAACTGAATGTGCTGCACACAGGCTGCCTCATGATTCAGTTGGCACGATATTTAAGATATCGCAGTATATTTTCATAAAGGAAGGGCGAAACCGATCGTGGGCTGTCGAAGAGTTTTCAGCAACCGTGTGAGTAGTTTTTTTGCGAAAAAAACAAACTTCATTTGCAAGCTGTCGAGCACAAATCCATCGAACCAGGAATAGAGTTAATCAAACAAACAGATTCACAAGAAAGTCATCAGAAACTTCGTATATATTTGCTTGAGGAGACGTTTTATTTTTAAAAAAATTATCCCGCCGTTCTCAGTATCCTGACGACGCCAGTTAGGGAGGTCGTGCAGTCCGCAGATGCAAGCTCACTAGTAGACGGTACTTTGCAAGAATTCATGAACGACAGAAGCGGGCACTATAAATTCTCGCAGGGTAAAGATACCTCTGTCCACATACTTTTAGACTAAAGTTAAGGTTTGACCAGGATTGACCTACTAAATGATAAACAAATACAGCCACATCGATCTTTGTTGGTGAAACCGCTCATCCCAGAGCCCCTTTTCTTGCAACTTGGAGATTACCGGGCTGAATGTTAAAGATACCACTGCTTTTGTTTGGCTCTGTCTTAATAATGAAAATTCTCGACAAGATATACTGTTTGTTGGGTATTTTATTGCACCGCCTTGGGCAAGGTTCACCTTTGATCACATCGAGTCCTGATGGACTCTACAGCAAGTCTCTGCCCGATGCAGACGCTATTTACGTCATTTGAACTTACGCAGTACCTTACCTCTAAGCTTTAAAACAAAACCTAGTTTAATGCAGTTGGAATTGCTCGTACAACATCATGCGTGGTCTGTTGAGACTGAGCGTCGAGAGAAGGCCGGTAATTAGAAGTACGAGCTAACAGTTTCCTGTAACGGGACAGTGCGCAACACTGAAGGCTTGCTTGACTATCCGGATGTAATTCAAAGCATTTTTCAGCTGCGTATTGCAAACGATGTAATAAGCAACAGATGAAAATTCCATTTATATAAAGTCAATCGTTCTTTTGGCAAACCGTATCTTTACATCTTACATTTTTACTTACCCGCAGTACGTACAAGGAGAATACAGTAGAAGACATGCTGTATTATGGTGTGAAACTTCACCGTCATGGGCACTTGTTAAGAGTGACACTTCTGAATTAAGCTCATTACCTTAATGCGTGTAATGATTTCTCGTGTTGCACACATAGGGCACAAACATCCCATATCAAACCTTCGGGAATGTCGAAAGTTTGAGATACAGTGAGCTAAGGATGTAGCAAAATGGGAAACCAGTGAGCAGTTGGCCAAAGGACAGAAATGGCAATTTGAAAAGGATAGAGAATATGTGAATAAAAAAGGCTTTCTTTAGCTACTGCAATGAATAGGTGGCATTGGATTGGAAAAACAAATCTGTATTTAACTGGCGCAATCATTTTGTACCTTTTTTGATCTTCATTTTGACCTTTGCACATTTGGCTGACCCAACGAACGACCAGGGACCAAACCCTCCACAGTTCTGGAAATCTATCAGCAACTACGCTTCCCATTTAAGTTCCAAGTAGATGCATCACCCGTCAGTGGTTGACGAGCATCTTTTTTCTTGAAAATCGGAATTATCTCCCTAAGCATCACTTTTATACGTTTTCAGTTACTTTAGTTTAGTTGCATGCGAATAAAATTCAACAGTCGTTATTTTCGTCAAGTATAGACCAAGAATGCGTAAATTGTCACAAAATTAAAGAATTTATAAAAGTAACTTTTAGCTGAAAATACCGGCCACCGAAATAAGCTCAACTTTGCTATCTATGGCGTGGAATTCGGTAAAATTTTGGAGCAGAAACACTGAGACTTATTGGTCATACGGGACCGTTACCGGTTCTCCGTTTTTTAAACTCTGTTCATCCACCTGTTCTATATAGTCCAAGGAACATATATCAAAAGCTACCCAGTTAACAAAAAAAACAGAATATTAGACATTTGTATTGATACAAATCGTTGTGGTACTCGTCCGTTTACCTTTGTAATTAAATGCGGATTGTGACTAGACATCACATAGAAAACTTCTGAAATGACGCACAAGCTAGTAGGGCGCTTCTTGAGTTCTCAAACGACTGTACGTCAGAACAAATTAACTGGAATAAAGCACACATGGTGCTTTGCAGCGTAATTGAAGGTTGTACTGTACTGCATGAGTGTTCCAGTAACTAAAACAGTGATTGGGGATGTGTAGAGAAGCACAGTGTGTTGCGCGGTCACGAGATTCCATATCTCATCAATAGATAATGAAGCGGCCAATGGGGCGCTTTACAACGCCTTGATGAACACTGAAAATAATTCCGAGACGTCCACAAGACGTTCCTAGGACGTTGAAAGAAGTCCAAATAAACGTGGCTTGAAAGAAGAACCATGCCTGGAGACAGACATTAACTGCTGATCTCGGACGGATGATTTACCGATCGATCTACCGAGAATGCTCTCTGTTTGTCAAGCTTATGCAGATGAACTCCACTGCTAATTTACCACAGCTCTGCCGAATGGAATAACAATTGACGTCTGCCAGTGGGTCAGACGTTCAAGTCGTCCAGACACACAGAATGAGTTAGCACAAACTCTCAGAAAGTAGGGTCGTATTTAGTGGATGCTGACATGAGCAGTCCAGGCACAGGCAGCATGAATGAAAAATCACACCATGAGACGTTCTAAAGTGACATCGAATAATTCATAAGAAAGTGTTTAGAGTTTGAAACTAGATACAGCAGTTTTCCTTCTATAACTATACATTAGTGGTCACAGTCTACTCTTTGCTACTGACGCTTGTGCCTTAGGTTTCTGCCAAAATACCATGCAACCGAAATGCCTTAACCTCCTTATTAAATAAGCTTTTGTGGACAAAATCTGCATCGACAGGGTCGTTGCGGGGGTATTATTCTTCTTGACTGGGTAACACATTTGACTACATCGATTACTTCTCTCGATGCCTCATTAGATATCAAGTTGCAGCCTACCTTGAGTTTCTTAGGCATTGTACGAGATCATCTGGCTGTTCTGCAGTGCTTCCCCGCGACACCGGAAGTAAACCAGTTCACGAAACTATTACACTGGTTGACAATTGAGATTTCGTTCCCTAAGTAAAGCTTATCTGTTCTGATGTGCCGAGAAGTGCTGTACAGCTGTTTCATTCTTATTGAGAATCACCAGCAGTACGTATCTCACTCAATAAACTTTCAAACCCACGACTTCCCGTCTTCGAGGAGTTGAGAGCACCTAATTCAACGTCTTTCATCAAGCCTGAACTAATCGCTGTTCGAGAGCGCCGAGCAACTGTGGTAGACGTAAGCACAATCTCGGATGGGCGCGGAGTCACTGTGTGGAATCAGAAGAAGCAGAAGTATGGTGTTGATGAATATTCCCTCGCCATAATCTCAATCGGTCTCGATTTTTTGGTCTACCATTTCTTATCATCATTTCTTATCAGGTGATCTGCTCTCCCCAATTCGCTAAGGCTGTTATTGGACTGGGACTCCCTAACGTCACAGTCAGTGACTCGTGTTCATTTGCCATTGTGGGCTCTCTGCGTGCTTACGACACCTTTAGTTGAGGCACATGGCGTTGAGTGTCATTCATAAATCTCACTCCAGACCCAGTATGACGGACACTTTGTGCCTGATATGCGAGTTTCGACTGTACATGAAGAGCATTCAACATTGTTTATCCTTTCCCCGGTCGTTCTCCCTTACACTCGTGTTTCCATACTAAACATTCTCACATACGTCGGGATTCATCTTGTCTAACTGGAACTGTTGGTGACATGACTTCGAATGAGATGCTTCTCACTTTTTATCTAATATTCTCCTGTGTAACACTTCCACATTCATTGCCTGCATTAACGTTTTATGTTTGTAGCCATACTCTTCAAAAAATGAACGATAGCGGTAGTTAATAAGGTCACGAACAGCTGATCAGCAGCATATGATGCCACTCATCTAATAGTGGAATCCACATCACATGTTCACGTGTTGACTGGCTGCTCGGGGGATGAGCTCTCAGAGAGAAGTTCCATCCGGTTCTTGAAATTAGTTCTCTCCCGAGCTACAGACAGATAGTAACGTGAGGGGATTTAAGACTTTCACTTACAGGAAAAAATTTCAGTCCATAAATCCAAGATTTCTTCATACTATCGACAAAAGCATATAGTCTGATACTCACTGTTTCTTGCCTGCGCAATACACATCAATTATTTCCAAGCAATAGTTTGAAACCACAGAAGGATACAGAAAAAATAGTCATTCGCCTAATCAGGACAGAGTTAATTGCGGGTTTTTGCGGATCTGTTTGCTCTTGTAGATCACGCATTCGACGCTGGCAGAGAGCATTGTCTTCAGATTTTGTGCGGAAGCATATAGGGACTCTTGAAGAAACTGTGAACACGTGGTACGTTATTAAAAGCGACAGGATTTCAATACTCAGTTAATAACTTTGATTGTTCCGCTATCCAAGATGGATTGCGGAAGCACAAAATAGCCTCTTATACAAGCGTGATGCACTTCATGAAATCAATCTCATGCTACGAGATTTGACGCGTGATTTCATTGGCCTAGTGAGGACGAAGGAACTGAACTATGTCTCTGTTGATGCCTCCTCTCTTTATCTATTGGATTCTTTAGAATCCTCCTTCGCCCGATCTACGTCGAACAATCGCTTAGGCTATCAAACAACGGCAGCTTCTGACGAGCAATGTGACACGAGGCACAGACTTACGGTTAGTCATTCTGTCTCGTATTTAAGACACAGGAACAATATTCTGTTGTATAAATATTGATACAGAACTTCGATGGTGGTGTACCAACACGTGTGTCACTTTCCTTACACGCGAGGTATTAATTATATATATATATTGTACAAAAGGGGCTAGTGGACACGTTGAAATCACAGTCGGGTCAAGTGTAGTGAGGGATCGAATTGGTACGTTCTGAAGATATATGGGCTTTGAAGAGAGGGGTATACGAAAATGTGCGCTTTCTGATAGGTACCGGTCTATTCTCATGACGTAGAAGGAATTGTAAATTACGCGATCGGTAGGGAAATGTAATGAAATTTCAGAGCAGCATTCAAGCTTCCGAGGAAAAAGTTTCCTGGTAATCTTCACTGAGCACAGTTTCGCCACACTGCAGACCAGTGTGGCGAGGCTAGATTCAAACTTCGACTTATTTTGATCGCCAACCCCACCGACTTTAAAATGTAATAGTTGATCCCTTATAATCTGGACTTTTCACAGAAGCAGAGAGAAAAGGACAATTTGTTGGCAGGCATATGGTTGTATATGTTTTATTCTTTCGTGTATGGTGTATTTATTCTGCTGCTGTTCAGCGGAGTATGTTGGGCGCACTACATGGCAACTTTCCAAGAGAATGCGTGAGAACCTCTCCTACCGGAATATCATTGGACTCAACAGTTCATCCGGAAGCTCAATCTCGTCCCACCTGATTGAAACCGGGCGTGTAATCATTACGAGTCATTTAACGTGTGCCCAATATACAGCGAGTTTCTATCCGACAGCATCGCTTGACTAGAGCCGAGACATTCGCTATAGGCCTGCGAAATCCGGTAGTGTGCTGTTTCAATCGTTTTGTACGAACGCTGAGTCTGCCTTGGTCATGTGACACGAATCAACCGGCTGGGTCACCCAACGGCATCCAGCTGGATGCGACGTAGGGGCGCAGACAATCAGTCGTTCGCATCTCCACGTTTTGCAGTTCGCTAACCCATTTTCGCTGCGTATTTCATTTTTCTCCCATTTTAACCATTATTTATGTACTGACTTGATGACGAGATCCAGAAAACATTAATGTTCGTCACACTGTTCTTGTTAGAACTATGTCTGTTCATGTAATGCGAAGTGTAGCCGCCACGTGCGTAAACACCTCTCAGCAACACTTTTGCCTTTTTCAGCTGGTGTACTCTCCAGACTCGTATTACCCTATTATGACAAGCCCGAGTTTGCGTGCTATCGGTGCAAATCAAGAGGGATTCGGACAATGTCACCTGCATGTGGCCTTCAGTTGCATTCAGAATGTGGCGCGAGGGCCAACCTATTGGACAAGTTTGAACGATCTACGAACATGTCGCTACTCGCGGGTTTCAGCTTCTCTTGGTGGTTACGATGTTGAAGCAAACATCTAACGCTGTTTTCATTATTGCCAAGACGATTTTGCGACAGTTCCCCTTGGTAGTGAATTTGTGGGGAGCACAGCACCCATTGACTTGCCGGCAGTGTGGTCAGTGGCATACACGTTTACTGAACGATTCAGGTGGGCATAAGCAGAGTCAGTGCTGCTTACAGGAACCTGGTCGAAACCTCAAACAAGCCCCAAGATCTTGATGTAAAAGGAGGCAACGAGAGCGTTGTTTAAGGCAACGATTACTGCGTGTCGTAACTAGATCAGAGATCGTCTGCAGTGCGTTGTTTTCAGAGTAAATAGACTCCCAATCACGCCTCAACTCCATACGAGTTCCGGTGTTGTGGTTACTTCCCATTACACCAGGAGAAACGTTGAAGTGTCTAAATACAATATGGCAATGACCACCACCCGAAATGAAGCACAGGGTATTTATGGTAAATTTACCCACAAGCTGAAAATAGCAAGTCTTTGTGAAGATGGTTTAGTCAGCAGTACCCACTGCATTTACTTAGTGATATTTTAGCCAGGGTAAATGGTGCTACGTAGTTTAGAAAATTAGGTTTTCCTAAGGCTAACTCGGTGGCCGGACTCGAGGAAACTGACGATCACCACGCACCGTGGTCCATTTTGTTGCCGTTTACGATCAAAACTTTGACACCAGTATTTGGAAAGAACATACGTACGAGGCTCTTGGTCGGGGTTGTTGTATATTTTTAGGTTATCATCGTAAAGGGGAAGACTCAAGAAAACCTGCTCTCTTTCAAAGAATACGTGAATGTTGTTTCCGGATGAGGAACGGAAATGTGAGTGCTTGTTGGGATCCGTGTAGCGTCTTGAGTTTGTTACCTTCCACCCTACTCACCAACCATTGGTAAAACCTCGGGAAAGTCTTCATCACCATATGTTGCTGAAGTGAAGCCGTTTGTGGGGGTGATAATTTACTATGGTGCCTTCTTCTCAGCTACACACCGCTTGCATGAACTCGGGCTAACATATGACCAAGGGTTTTTGGTAGGATTTGTCACGCGATTATTCGCTTGCTTTCGGGGGGTAAAGAGGCTTTCGCAGTCGGAATTTCTGCTTACGCACCTCGAACCAAACACTCCACTATCCTCAAAACTGATATTAGAAACCATAGATTTGCATTAATCCTAGCCCATGCTCGCTTACTCCGGTGGAAAAAATTACGACCAATGTGGAATGCAAGCAGTTCAAATTCAGATGGTGGAGAGTAGATGGAAAATCCGTTTGAGCCTCGATGACCGCAACTGTTAGAATGCTGGAATCTCACAAAATGCTTTTGGCCGACACTTTTAAGTTGTGACGGATCACGCATCACCGATGAATTTATGCGCTTCCAAGAACGGTGCTTTGTTTAACAGAGCTAACCGGCTGTAACAGTGCTAGACTGCTAGACCACAAGGTTACCATAAAGCATGCCTCGGCCAAGGGAGTCTGGCAACTCGGCGATCTTTAGCGCTTAATTGGTCTCCATGAGAAAGAAGCGGACGGTAGCGTTGTAACAGTCGTCGTTCCCACAAAACTCTGTGTTGTGACATGAAGTCAGTAAATCAAATCTTGATCTCAGGAACGACGGCACCCTACTATATAAGGCAACGAAACTGCACTAAGTCAGCTGACCAACAGCCCGGCCATCTGGGGAATCTCGACAATTTTTTGAACGACGGAATTATTGCCTGTTGTCAGCGCCCGCTTTTTGGTAACCGAATCAACATTGCGACCAAAATTTTCCCTCGAACCGTCTTAGCCCAAATGCATAATTAATATTTGAGAGCACACCACATAAGGGGCCTTATTCTTAGCCATCTTATAGATGAATGCCTGAGATAGAAATGTAGGGTGCGTTCGATTCCCCACTGCTTGGATCTTACCTAACCTGACGTTGTGATTCGGACCTGATGTGTAGCCGCACATCCACGTGGACTTAGCCAGGTCGGCTATCAGGCAAAACTTCCTCATGTTTGCTGATGTCTGAGGACTTCGTTTTGTCTGAAACAACAACCATGGTGGCCAAATTGAAGTGCGGCAATGACTATTAATCTTCGGTCTTCCAGAGGCCATTGCATCCGGCTGTGATATTAAGTTCACATTGCATCCGCTTAACGAATCTTTTCGAATGACCAGCAATACGCATGTTGAAAACGCGTGGAAATATTGGTAGCCTGGAGTGGTTTTCTGGTAGTGGCTATTGAAGTGTTCACCGAGCTTGACAATCGCATTCAAGGAGACATCACCAGTGCGTAGTTGAGTGAATAATTCCTCCTTACCTGCCTGTGGTTCTAGAGCAGTACCCGAGTACCCGTTTACCGATAGTTTGGTTAATTGGTACACGCACGTTTTGTGATAATATTGGTCCGCTTGCAGTCTGTGTTGCATTGTGGCTTGTATTTTTCATCAATTCATTGGGAGATTAGCTCCTTTTCGAAGGTTTAAGGTTCGCGTTTCCAATTACCCGTTCCCGATTTGCGTTGCCCTGTGGTCTGTTTTACTGAAATTTGACTGGTCATTACGGTGTTTCCATTTTCGGTAGCCATCCTAATTTGGCTTGATTATACCTTTATCAATCTGGCTGACTGCACTTCCACGTTCTGGTATATTTACCTGCGTTTAAGTAGTTTATTCGGCGCCCTCCCCAAATGGTAATTCTTCGTCCATTTCCAACTTATTGGTTCCGCGTATGATCCCGGAAATTGGGTTAATCCGCCAGACTTTGGGTTCATGTACTTCTTCTATACACGCCTCATTTTTACTGTATGGTTTTGCGGTCTGTAATCCTTGAGTTCTTTTGTCCCTACTGGCTGATAGATCAGGCCAACTTTAGTACATCTGTTGGTGGCTTTTCCGGTGGAGTATCGTGCTTTTAGTAATTCAAGTTATCTTTTAATTGAGTCAATCAAATCATCAATCAGTCAAATTTATGTCCATCTTGATCTCGGACATAGAAAAGAACCCTTAGAATACCCAACTAGACCGACTCATTTCCGGAGTTTTCGTCGAGATAAGTGAGTTGAAACTGCACGAAATTCGACTTATACACGGATCGCACCCTCAGTTTGATCGTGGACTATCGAGGAGTCTTCAACAACTTTGTGAGTAGTGCTTTGTGTCAGTAGAATGTGTCCCGTTATCTCGAATATCGCGCCTAATTGAAAAATGGAACGGTGTGGTGCAGCAAATTCAAATGGTTTGGGACATCATAAACGAGGAGTTCAGCTTGGTTCCAGGCGAGTCTGTCGTCAAAACCAAATCGCTATGCAGATGAGTGTATAAGTCGATAGATCCTATTTAGTCCCAGAAACCAATGGGCATCGTGCGAACGGGGCCGCAAAACGGTGTATCTCTTTGGATATGATTATAAATAGACGTATCATTGGATCACACGAAGGCCCATTCTTTGGACATTTAACATTTGAAAGTGTCTGGTTGGTAAATGTGTAAGTCAAATTCCAAGTGAAATTTTAGACTAACTTATGGAATTTTGCGCCTTTGTAAACTCGTTACAGCATATTTCGCATGTTATGAGTTGAACTGAGAGGGACCTACTGAGTGGTCGCTCTA